CCCCTCCAAAGGAAGCCATGAAAATCAAACAAATACTGAAACATCAAATAACAACCATTCCTACTGAAAATATCAACTACCCCAACAACTACAAAAAACAAAACAAAATAAGTAAAAATGGTCTCATATCATATCAATTTGAACTGTAGCAAAAACATCAAAATTCGCTTACAAAATAACAAGAATTGGAATGTCCCCAATATATACTGAAGTGAAATATCAACTTACAGCCAGACAAAGCAAGCAATAAATCAAATCTGGTAGTGGAAAATTCAAAGTGACAATCTGTTTGGAGTTGGCTGGCAAATATTAATTGAAATCCTATATATTTCTTTACACATAAAATGAAGTCATTCTTACATTCAATCTTGTTATTATTTCCACAACTTAGAAATAGTTATAAGTATTTAAAAAAACTATGTGGCTCTCTCTATAATGACGCTTGATAAAAAAGAAAGTTACATCAATAGGTAAAAGTAGAAAAGAATTTAGAGGAAAGAAAATGATTCTTCGAAAACATGTTGCAAAACTCGCCTCTAGTCTTAAGTTTCACTCATACACTTGTCCAGAGTTGAGCTTCAAAACTTTCTTAAATCTTCTCAACACTATAGTCGGCGATCAAACGACCACGCTCTTATTGTTTGCTATCCATGGTCTATATGCCAAAAGAGAAATCTAATTACATAATGTTTTAGTTTATCCACCTTCAAGAGCAAATATATTAAGAAAATTAAATATGTTTACAATTAGGANAAAACCCAAACACAAATAGAAAATCATGTCTCACTCATTGCATGATTTAAGTTTTTACTCAACTACAATTTCACTGTTAATTATTTTCAAATTTTGCGGAAAAAAAAAAAATGATTGTACAATGAAAGCAAACCAAATATACATGTTGGGTGTCCTCTAAAATTGTTTGGTAGAGCTTTTCGAAACTATTAATATGATTACTTTACTAAATTTTCATATTTCCGCTTAAATATCAATCAAATCTTAAGAAAAAAAATCCAAAAATGGAAAGAAAATAAAAATAAAGAAACAAACATTGATAAAATTGAATGATAGAAGAACAAATTAAGTTCATGTATCTACATCACTATATACTTTCCAAGAAAATAAGTAATGCATTCTTGTAAGAGAAATCCAATGGCAAATTCTGGAAGAATAAACACATGTCAACCTCATTCTATCATCATCATGAAGCCATCACAAAGTCAAAGAACACGATATTTACATCACATATAATATTTTCCCTCAATTACCTGAAAGAGAAGTCAGGCCTCTGAAGCTCAACAACCAGTCTCTCGAGGTCCTGGTAGTTAGTGTTATCAGTGAGGAGAGTGCGCCATTTTCCCTTGCGAACATGGCTCCTATAGTTCAGAATTACAATATATATCAATTAAAACCTGGCTTCTAAATTGCAAAGAATTACAATACAATCAAAATATATCCTTTAAACCTGACTTCCAATACAACCCGTGCTTAATGGGAATTAATTCATTGAGATTCATAAAAGCAACAGGAAGTGACACTTACCTTTGTTCACTATTTCTCTCAAGGAGATCAGGATATTCTATTCTTTCGAAGCTAACACCATTCATACTCAGTTACATGCTGATATTTGGCCTTTGTTTCGGCTTTCAATTCCACTCAGTTAAAGATCAAAAGCACAAACAATATCTTCACTTCATTGTCCTTCAATGCAAGGTGAGACCATAAGACATAATCATCTCAACTGTGAATCTCTTATTTTCCCTCAAACAACCCAATATATACTGAAATTTTCACGATTATTTTCCACAATGAAGACAACAAAAACTTCAACGACACTTAAATATACTTATAAATTGCAATCCAAACTAAAACTCATCACCAAAAGAGAAATTATGCAAAGTGGCATGTAAGACTAGGAAAAAAGTTGTCATGGGATTCACTGGACATAATCCCACCAATTTCGGCAAAAAACACACCCATATAGCAGAAATTACACAAAAAAAGAAAGAGAAAGGAAGGAAATATTCTACTCCTTTCTAAATCTTTGGCATTCATAAAATGAATTTAAATCAATCAAAGATTGCAGATGTCTCAATTAAAATCATGTTTTTTTTAATCAAATGTTCATATCATTCCCCAAAAGAAAAAATAGATTTAAAGTAAAATGAAGAAAAGAGAACTCAACAAGAAAGAGGCCCTGAGGTCTAAGGTCGGAGAACGGGATGTTAGTCAGTTTAGGGTTTGGGAAAATTGAGAACAAGCTTTTCTCAAGAGATTCAGAATGTGACTGATGTAGATTGAAAAAATCAAATTGCGTGTTGGCGTGTTGCGTAAAATCCGCACGTCGATCTGCCCCTTGAATTGGCAAAAAGAAGGAAATAAACAGTTTAGCCCCAAACGACCCGTTTTGAATCAAATGAAGAGCAAAGAGCTATGCCACGTGTTGGCAAACAAAGGGCTCAAGCTGTTTTCTTATAAGATAGAGGGAGATATTGTTATAAATTGAATGTTAAACTGGATTAGCCATACCATTCATTTACCCTACTTGAATTGTAATGAATAGATCAGATTCACATGTTCAAGATTTTGAATTTCATTTCTGTGGAGCTAGTCGGGTTAGGCCGGTGACTTAATATATTGCAGCAAAGAAAGAGGCTCGATTACATTGACCTTGACCCCCTTTTTCCCGCACTCCCTCGTAATAGGTTGGTCATAACCACTTCATTCAATTGCCTAACCTACTTACTTGCCCTGCCCGCCATTACTTTATGTTACTGTTACAAGGTCCACACTGAAAAGCAGATACACAAATATGTCAATGATAAATTGATGCTAAACTAACCGGGATTCAGAGCTCCAAACCTTCCCACACTCTAACCTTAAACTTCAATTAACTGGACTCTACTTCAACCAAATGAATTTTCATTGGGAAAATAAGAATTTTTTAATAGGTAAAGAGAACTACATAACATCGAGAAAGTATTTTTATGGCTAAAGCATGTCAGTGTTGAGCTGTTTATGCCTTATTTATGGCCATGTGCACCTACAGTCTGCAGCTCGAACCATATCCAAAAGAAAAGGCTTCGGAACGATGATGCCATTAGCTAAAATTTCCATTAAAATAAGAAAAGTAAGCAAAAAGATGATCAGATGATGAAAAAATTAAAAATGATGTAACAGATCAAATTTCCCAGATAGCCAATAAGACCACAAAAGGTACACCGAAGCAAGGAATCCTAACTGATAGGCAACAATCTTCCTAACTGATAGGCAACAATCGAAAACAACACAACAGCTAATTCCTTCTTGTTGCCACATGAGGAACTACAAAAACCTTGAAATTACAAAAATGACTGCTAAGCCTCAGAAGTACCTTGCAACAACTCTTGTCACATTGTGCTGCTGTACATGTACTGTAACTTGACCCCCGGCACACCTCCAACTCATAGCTACAAAAGCAACCCATGATGTTTCACATATTACAACACAACCCAACCACCTTACAAAATTATAACCCCATACATCTACAATCTGTGAAACACAAACACATCTCGGGACATGTAGGAATTTAGGAAAGATATTGCTTTTTTCTTTTCTACATGATCTACACACAGGCACAGTTTTTTTCT